CCTAAAAACTAATCTTATTGGTTGATAGCACCAAATTTTTGGCTGCAATGCAAGGAATCACCCAGCTGTGGCTGCTCGTTGCTATCATTTTTCCCCCTTATTCAGGAAATCTTGTGCATTTGAATGCAATAAAACATGTGTTGTCATGAATATGTTTCTAAGACATTAAGAGTGAAAATCTTGTTTGTTTATTTTGTGGAAGCCATTATTTCATATACCAGTGCAGACAGAATGGACTAGGGCCTGGGATAAAGTGGTAGAACTCACAAGTATTGTCAAAAACAACAGTTTTTGGAGTCCTATGTCACAATGGGAAGAGGTAGTCTCTGGCCTTGGCTCTGCCATTGCTGTGTGGTTTAAAACAATTTATTCATACATTCTGCATTTATGTTATCTACTCTGTATCAGACACTCTTTTTAGCACTGGGAACACACTGTGAGGAATAAAGAATATGTATTACACAACTTCTCTGAATATTATTTCTTTATTTGCAGTGCACTGCAATGAGTTCTCAAGGTCCTCTACCCATGGTTCTTGATTTTTGACTTTTCTGTGGGAGCAAATTGTGCCCAGAAGAACAATAACAGGAAAAGTGATATCTGATATTACATGGACAGATATTGTACAGACTAGCCACTTTTATATACATTGCCTACTTTGTTTTCTCAAGAATCTCTTAAAAATAGATACTATATCTGTTTCATAAACAGGAAACTCAGAGTTGGAGTAGTTGAGTTCACTTTGTTACAAATGAGAAAGAGGCAGAATGAGACTCAATCCCAGCTCTGCTGACTCCTAATCCAACATTATTTTCTCCTCTGCTCGCCATGGTTTTATATGTTCATTCATCTCCCCTGAACTTTTCTCTGGGAAAACTTACGGAAAATTTACTCAAGAATCCACGGTAATACAATACAAACTCCCTTGTTCTTGCTTTATGGAGTCTTTCATTAGCTTTCCCTATCTTCTTACCTACTAAACTTCTCTTAATCACTTAGGAGTGTTTTTGCTGCTTCATCCAAGGCCTGCACTCCTGTGGCTTTTTTTCTGCTTATGCTTTACCTTCCACTTGGAATCATTTTCAGTCTTTCCTATGCCTAGTTGTGCATACTACTTGGGAAGCTGAGGCAAAAGGATCACAAGTTGATCACAAGTTGAAGGCCAGCTTGGAAAATTTAGTAAAAAACAGTCTCAAAAGAAAAAAATGAAAAAAAATTCTTGCCTGTAATCAAATTTTACACTCTTTCTCAGACTTTGTCATATTCCTCAATTTAACTCATTCATTACCTAATAGTTGTCCAACACAATAAGAAATTTAAAATATAACATAGTATCATCTCTTGGGGGAAAATAAGATGCACAGATTATAGGAAACAGTTATGTGCCATTTATTCTTGGAGTTTCCCTACAAAGAGAGGTGTGTAGCAGTGTATGATTCAAAAACGGCCCAAGGTCTTCTTCATGCTACCCTTTTCCAAAAGATGCTTTTTCTGTTTCTTTTTCTGGTTATACCTGGTCATTGTAGAAAGTTTGAAAAATAGAAGTTACCATTCTTCAGAAATAATCACTGTTAACATTTTGGTGTACTGCATTTCTGTCTGTGATGGTTAGTTTTCTGTGTCACTTTGTCTAGTCTAATTGTGTTAAGTTATTTAGTCAAACACCAGTCTAGATTCTTCTGTGAAGTCTTCTTTATTTTTTTTAGATTGATAAACATTTTAGCTAGACTTTGAGTAAAGCAGACTACACTCCATAGTGTAGGTAGACTCATCCAATAAGTCATTCCTTACAAGTAAAGACTCGAGTTGCTCCAAGAGCAAGCAATCCTGCCTTAAAACTTTAATATAGAAGCTTGTTTTCACATGAATTGATTCCTTAAAATCTCTCTATGTCCACATATTACCTAGTTGGTTCTGTTTCTCAGAAGACCCTGACTGATACATCTTCTTTCTACTTACTTATTTCCTCTGGATTAGTACTTCTCAAGCTGTAATGTGCAAATTAATTGCCTGGGGATCCTATTCAAGTGCAGCTTCCAAGTCAGTAGGTGGTGGGCTGAGATTCTGCATTTCTAATGAACTCACAGGTAATGTTGATGCTGTGGTCTGTGGACCACATTTTGATTAGCAAGACTTTATGTAACCGACTATTTTTTAAAAACTAGTCATGATCTCAGTTATTCCATCAAAACATTTGTATTAACTATATTACACTCCATCAGATGGATTTCTATAGTTTAGTTAATGCATTTCTAATTTTTAGTTTGGGTTTAGTTTTTTACCACTACATAATTCTGTGATAAATGCAGCCATGCACTGCATAATGATGTTGTGGTTAACCACGGACTGAATATAAGACAGCTATCTCATAGTGATATTATAGCAATCTTATTTTATGTCAGAACACTATGATGTTCATACAATGACAAAATCTAAAGGACATATTTCTCAGGATGTATCCCTATCATTAAGCCACGCATTACTGTATCCTTGTCCATAAATTTCTGGGTGAAACTCTATTTCCTTAGGATTATTTTGTCCATGATTAATTCTTAGGCCAGAATAGATACATTTTTTCAGGTTTTAGAAGTATAATTTCCAAAAGGTTCTTTAGAAAAATTGTCTGAAATATACATATACCCAAAAGTCTGGTTGTAGCTTCTCCAACTCAAGTCTGCATGATTGTCTCTGATTTCAAGAACTTCCCTGGTCTTTTTGACTGTGTGCTGGTATTGTCAGTGTCTGTTGGGCAACAGAACCTACCATATTTTCAGATTTCTCCGAATTTATTTGTACATTCTCCTACTTATTCGTGTAATAATATTACTTGATTATCTACTTAGTTAATGTTGTAAATACCCTTCTGGGAGTTAGGGTAGAGGGGAATTAACCCTAAGTGTATGGCGACAATCTGTTCTAATCTGAGGGTCAAGGACACTTCCTGAGTAAGTGACATTTGAGATGAATTTTGATTGTTTTGAAGATGTGGTCCTCAGTTCCCTAACTTTTGACTAGTCATTTTAAATAGGTGGAGGCTTTGATGACAGAACCTTGGAAGTAACCTTGTTGAGAGATGATACACCTGAGGTCTCCAAGGGTCTCCCAAGAGGTCCATTGTAGTTGCTGTATTTCATTCTCCCTGCCATGCTTTTGTGAAGATAGCATTTCAGGGGGTTCCCTCTTCCATCTGCTCTTGGGTAGAGTTTCGGTTTCTCATCACTAAAGCTGAATGCCATCCATCTGATGTTCCAGCTATGTCTATTTGTTATAGAAAATAGAGCCTAAGAAAACAAGTTATTTTAAGGTTATTTATCATAGGCAAATATTTTGATATTTTGATCTGTCATTATTTTGAACACTTTCTACCACTGCCAGACCACATTAATGTAGATAATGATAACTGAAAAGAAAAAAATCAGTACTATAAAGCTATAGTTTTCGAAAGTATAATACTAGCATATGTACAGACATATGGAATATAGACCAATGTTCAGACATAAGTCAGATCAATGGAATAAAATTGAGAATCTAGAAATTCATATACTTATGGTTAGTTAATTTTTGACAAGGGTATCAAGACAATTTGGGAAAAAGAGTATTCTCTTTAATAATTGGTGCTTAGACAACTGTATGTGTACACGCCAAAAAATGTACAAGTTGGACCCCTACCTCACACAAATAAAGAAATTAACTAAATATAAGAGGTAAAATGATAAAACTCCTAGAAGAAAATATTGGGGGTAAATCTTCACGACATTAGATTTGACAGTGAATTCTTAGATATGATATCAGAAGCATGAACAAAAAAAGAGATCAATTGGACTCATCAAAATTAACATTTATTCATAAGAGACACCATTTTTTAAAATGAGAAAACAATCTACAGAATGGGAAAAAATAATTCCAAATCATTATCTGATAGGGGTATAGTATACAGAATATATAAAGAATTCTTACACTTCAATAACAAAAAAGTCCAATTTAAAAATAGGCAAAAGACTTAGACATTTTCCCACAGAAGATATACAGATAGCTAATAAACAAATGAAAAGATGCTCAATATTATTATTATTGTGGATATGTAAATTAAAATGACAATGTTAAGTGTCCCTTCAAATCCTCTAGAAAATTCTTGAGAAAAAAATGGAAAATAAGTGTTGGTAAAGATGTGGAGAAATTCAAACCTTTCATTTGCAATTGTAGAAATTACATTGTTGGTAAGGATGTAAAATGGTACAGTCACAGTAGAAGGAACTTTTGTGTTTCCTTTAAAACGTAACTTAGAATTACATAATTCAGCAATTCTACTCCTAGACATACCCCAAAGAATTGAAAACTGCTACTCAAGTAAATAGGTGTGCACACATAGCAAAACTGTTCAAAATATAGAATCCAAATAGTCATCAACAGACAAATGGATCAACAAAATGTAATATATCCATGTGACAGACTATTAGCAAAAGTAATAAATCCATAAAAAGGAATGAGGTGCTGATACATGCTCCAGTGTAGTTAAGTCTCAAAACCATTATGCTAAGTGAAAGAAGTCAGGTACAAAAGGACACATACTGTGTAATACCATTTATATGAAACATTCACAGATGGTCAATCCATAGAGACAGAAGGCAGGTCAGTGATGCTTCTCTTTGAGAAAAGAGGCAACTGTAGGGGATAACTACTTCAGAGTTTCCTTTTGGGTTGCTGAAAAATTTTAGGAATTAGATATAGGTGGTGTTTACACAACATTATGAATGGTTAAATTATTTAATTTATTGCTATTATATGAATTTCACCTCATAAAAACATTATATAATAAAGAAAAGATCAAGACTAGAATCTCTCTTCCCGTTATATGTGCCATATTTTTATGGTTTCAGTTTTAAAACAGCAACAAAATGATGACATACCTTTGGTTATTAATATCTTGGGGTTTTGTTAGAGGCCATACTAATCGGTTCTCTTGTGATTTCCACTTAATTTTTTTACTCTGTGCAATTCAGATTTCAGTCCAAGGCTTCAGGAACATTGCAAACAGCTGCTCTAAAGTTATGCATCTGACCATCAATGATATGCCAACTCTGACGGACAACTGTGTGAAAGTAGGTAGTGGAAAGTGCATTTTCTTCTCAGTCTCATTAGATAATGGCTTGAATTACTGAAAAATGTAAATTGACTTTTCATTTTAATTAATTAATAGTAAGAAAATAATTTAAAAAATTTACACACACATGCGTACGCACACACACACACATATATACACACCCCTCCAGAAACATTTGAACATTTAAATTTAAATCCTTAAAAATCCTAAGAAACCTTGCTTCACAGTTAGGATATTTTTGTTTCAGTGCTGTTATAGCCTAAATTAAAATTTTAACTTTAATTTTCCTATCCAAGTACTAACCAGGTCCAAGCTTGCTTAGTTTCAATTTAATCTTCTATGTTAAACTGCCAAATTTTTTTCAACATTTCATTTTCTCATAATCTTGTAACATGATATAATTCCGATTCCTCTACATTACTCAAATGTGAGCATGTTAAAATATGATGAAAAAAAATCCCATTTTTTTGAAATTAGGGAAATTAAATAGGTGCTGTGACTCTATAAATATCGAGAGAAAAAAATGACATCACTGCCTTGCTAAATTTGTTCTATATACTATGTTTAATTTATTTAATCATCTTTTTTTCTTCTTAAAGGCTTTAGTTGAGAAGTGCCAAAGTATTACATCAGTGGTTTTCATTGGTTCACCACATATCTCTGACTGTGCTTTCAAAGCTCTTTCTACTTGTGACCTCAGAAAGATCCGATTTGAAGGTCTGTGATATCAAAAATGTGGTTCAACCTTATTTTTTACTTTTATTCTTGTGGCATTATGTATATAGTACTTGTTTTTTCTTCTTTTAAGCAGGAAATAAAAGGATTACCGATGCATGTTTCAAATTTATAGACAAGAATTATCCAAATATCAATCACATTTACATGGTGGACTGTAAGGGACTAACTGATGGCAGCCTCAAGTCGCTTTCGCCTTTGAAGCAACTGACTGTGTTGAATTTAGCAAACTGTGTAAGGTAAGAAGGCATTCAGCTGAATATTCAAGAAAGACTGATTATCTAGGACATGTCTGTCTCTCCCATCAAGAAGCAAATTGGTTGGTGGGGTAAACATGAAAGTGAGTAGTCCAAGTGTCAATGTGAAGGGAAGAGCAGAGTTTTCTGGTAACCCAAAGGGGAGACACTGGATCCAGACCAGTTACATGGGGTTGCAGGGAAGTTGTCAGAGAGAGCTCAGGATATGAGGAATCGTGGACCCTTGTAAGATTCAATGAAGTTTGGGGCTATCTTTCCTACCCAAGGTTCTCATAGCTAGTTCAGTTAACAGGTTCATTTACCAAATGGACTTTATGACTTGCTTATGAGGAACCAATCTAACTGCAAGCTTTGTTAATGGTTAGATTTCTCCTATGTGGGTTTTCTGACAAATGATAGTAAGTTCTTACTGAAACCCTTTCTTTAGCTGGGCCATAGTATTGGGCTGCTACCTTGGTATTTTCAGATAAACAATGATCAAATTCTTGATGAACCTCTACTTTAATAAATATTGCAGCAGCTTGCCTGTGTAAATTTTCTCACAGTTTCACAGGGCCAGATGATGACATTGTAGATCAAAATAGCATTTTATCTACAATGAGGTTTAGATAATATTTAAACACATACAAGACAGGTCAGAGTAATAAGCTAAACTACACAAAAATCTTAATCTATGTTTCCTATTATTTTAGTGGGGACACAGCATAGATTGACAGGGGGTTGGTGTAGACATAAGCATTTGGGATGAGAAAAAACATGGATTAAGAAATGAGGCATATTTAGTAAAGAACTGAAGCCTATGGCTCATAGCCAAACGAGTGGACTTGGAAGCAGATCCTCCAGCCTCAGTCAAGCCTTCAGATGATTGAAGCTTCAACTGGCACCATGACTGCAAACTCCTTTTTATTTTTCATTGTGAGTCATGATCTCATTAGTTTGCTTAGGCCCCTTTAAATTGCTGAGGCTGTTCTCAAACTTGCAATCTTCAAGCCTTCTCATTTGCTGAGATAGATTCCAAATGTAAGCTACCAAGCTCAAAATTAATTTTAAATTAAATGGATATTTTCTGCTTTCAAAGTATAGTTGACAGGACATTTCAAAGAGCTTTTTTTGGCCACAATTTAGACCCTTTAGAAAATATATTTTCAGTACATTGCTGAGCCCAAAAAGAGTAAGAAAATATCCAATAGGCCCAAGTCCCCTGATTCTGCCCGACCTTCTCAATGAATAGACTTACTGAGATGAATTGTGAATAGCAAGCAAACATAAAAGGTTAAGCTACCCTGAGCATAAATGTTTGTATCAACATTGCTGTTGAGAATATCAACTTTGAGCAAGACTCAGATTAGGGAAGCAGAATCAGAGACTTCTACAGGGCCTTGGTCCTATTCAAGTTGGACAAGGTGATCTCAGGTAGATAGCGCCCAGGATCCTGGATGAAATTAATACAAAGCTTCTATGAATAGACATTAAGATCACCATTAAAGATTGTCAAATACACAAAGTTATGAACCACTGGGAGAATGGGTCACCAGAAATAGCAAAACAGATTTGACATACAAATAATTCATACATAGGAATTATCAGACACAGTATATTAAATTACTACAAAGTTACTACTTATGAAATGTTTTAAGAAATAAATAATGGAGTCAGAAATATGAGCAGGCAAAAAATATGATAAAATTATTAGGTTAGAAAAAACCTTTCAGAAATTAAAAAAGTACAGGTATTGAAAAAAACTCAAAGGATATACTAATCAGCATATCGGAGAGAAGAATGGAGCTGAAAGATAACTGTGAAGAAATAACAGCAGAGGGAAAGACATGGAAAAAAATGAGTGTATAACCCAGGGTAAAAAGACAAAGGTTTAATATCAGTTTGAGATTAGATTTTTTTAATTCACCTATAGAAGATACACCTGAAACAGTAAGTTTGAGAGTCAAAGAATATGTTTTTTTTGTTGTTGTTGTTGTTTGTTTGTTTGTTTTTTGGTACCAGGAATTGAACCCAGGGCCTCTCAACTACTGAGCCATATTCATAGCCCTTTTTATTTTTAATCTTGAGACAGGTATTGCTGAGTTGCTCAGGGCCTCACCAAGTTGCTGAGGCTGGCTTTGGACTTGTGATCCTCTTGCCTCAGCTTTCCAAGCCACTGAGATTACAGACATGTTCCACTGTGCCTGGCAAGAAAATGCATTTTTATCAAAGACATATTAGTTCTTTAAAAAATGTATGAAATTTTTGTATTGCAAGTTCCCACAACATCTAAACCATTGATATCAATAAGCTATATTCACTCTCTAAAATGCAATTAACTTAGGAATTAGTAACAAAAAATAATAATTTAAAAAGAATATAGTATATGATTTAAAAGTAAAAATCCCAAAGCATGGGACTCATGGTGGGGGAGCTGAATAAAACTTACAGATGTCCAAGAGCTATTGATATCTGATTTTTTTTGCAGTGGAACCTCAGCTAGTGTATATTTTTTTAAAAAACAACATGACTGATTTTAGTACACAACTAGGTTTGAAGAACTAATTGATTTGGATCATTTCCTAAGTAAACCCTTTCCACTGACTCTTGAGCTCCTCTTGGGTATAATATAAATGTGTATGCACACACTTGCATGCATGTATATGTGCATATGCACATATGTGTACAGTATATATATATATGTATATATATATATATATACACACATATTTGTTCACAGGCTCTCTTTTTGTTCCATTAATTTATATATCCTCTAATTCTGTGTAGTATTTTATTTGAAAAATAGCAAAATAAGAATATATACCTCATAGGAATGTTTCAAGGATCAAATTAGTTAATATGAAGTACTTAAAATAGTATTTGGCACCTAATAAGTACTCAATAGATATTATCTATTGCTATTATTGCTTTGGAATATGTTTTAATATCTAATATAGTGAGACTTTCCCTACCTAATACCATTTCTCTGTACACCATTTGAAGGGGGGAAAAAGTGTGACCCCCAGGAATCTAAATCTAATAAAATAATCTTCAGTGAGGATAGTTTTAATCAATATAAAATTACCAGATTGTTAATATTTTAGCCACATTTGAGTGCTTTATTTCTAGTTTTGTCCACAAGTTTGGGAGTACTAGAAGGGTCCAAAAATTATCTGTGAAACCATAATGATATTCATCAGATTTGTCTGTAAATGAAAATGAGTCTATTGGTTAGTCTATTGCACTTTTTTTTTTTAAAAAAAACCTCTTTCTTCTTTGCCTACCATAAAAGCCCAGTTGTTAATTTAATCACTATTTTTACTACCATGGCATTTTGATTCAGAATAAAAGGGCCATTACTGTATTCATTTTATTTATATATGCCTAATACATCTTTGCAACATTTTTGCTTTTGGTGTCATTTTATTTTTAATGTGTTTCTTATAGATAATTTATTTATATATTAGTTTTGTTTGTTAAACCAGTCTGAGAATCTCTTTTAATCATGAGTATTTTCATTTATAATTATTATAAAACTAATGCATTTGGTCTTCTTTTGCCTCTTCTATTTGCAAACTATTTGTACTTATATTTTACATTTTGGCTTTTGTCTTTTAAATATATGAATTATGTTTGTCTATTTGAAAAGTTTTTACTACCTCTAGTTACTAATTTTAAAAGAATTTATTCTTAAATATTTCTCAAGAATCTTTTTTTTCCCTTTTTCTTTTTTTTAAAGTTGAGCTTTATAGTTATACATAGTGGTTGGGTTCATCCCAGCAAACTCATACATGCCTGGAAATTGATTTCAGTTCATGATCCCCCTTTTTCTCCCTCTTTGCCCTCCTATCCTTCCTCCCCTCTCCCATTCTCTTTACTCTACTAGACTTCTTTCACATGGCTATTAATTTATATTTGATTGGTTCTTATGTTACCCTTTACTGCTCTTCCTTTCTTTATTTTACTCTTCTGCATATGAAAGAAAACATTTGACCTTTGAGTTTCTGAGTTTGGCTAATTTCACTTAGCATGATATTCTCCATTTCTATTCATTTACTGACAAATGGCATATTTTCATTCTTTTTTATGGCTGAATAAAACTCTATTGTGTGTGTATGTATACATGTATATATAGCACATATGTACATATGTACATATATATACACACATTATATATCACATTTCTTAATCCATTTACCTATTGATGGGCATCTGGATTGATTCCATAATTTAGCTATAAACATTGATGTGGCTGTATCACTGTAGTACATTAATTTTAGATCTTTGGGAGAAATACCAAGGAGTGAGATAGCTGGATCATATGGTAGTTCCATCCCTAGGTTTTTAAAGCATCTCCATACTGCTTTCCAAAGTGGTTGTACTAGTCTACAGTCTCATCAACAATTTACAAGTGTATCTTTTTCCCTACAACCTCACCAGCTTTATTGTTGCTCATATCCTTGGTCATTGCCATTCTGACTAGAGTGAGATGAACTCTTAGTGTAGTTTTGATTTGCATTTCCCTAATTGCTAGAAATGTTGAACTTTTTGTGTGTGTGTGTGTGCATTTGTTGGCCATCTGTGTTTCTTCTTTTGAGAAGTTTCTGTTTAGTTCTCTTGCTTGGGTTATTTGTTTTCTGAGGGTTGTTTTTTAAGTTCTTTGTATATAATGGATATTAATCCCCTATTGGAGGAGTAGCTGGCCAAGATTTTCTCCCAGTCTCTTCATGCCTTAATCCTTTCCTTTGTTGTGCAGAAGCTTTTTAGTTTGATGGCATCCCACTTCCTGATTCTTCATTTCCTGCATTTTGGGGATCTTGTTAAGGAAATTTGTGCCAACACGTAGATCATGAAGTGATGACCTTGTTTTAGCACTTGCAAGGTTTTTGGTCCAATTCCTGTGTCTTTGGTCCATTTTGATTTGAGTTTTGAGCAGGGTAAGAGATAGGAGTAACCTCTTTTTTATTCATATAGTACCCAGTTTTCCCAGCATCATTTGTTTAAAAGGCTAAACTTACAAAATATATTTTTGGCACCTTTGTGAAATATCAGATGGCTGTATGTATGAAGATTTCTCTTTATCTCCTATTCTGTTCTATTGGTCTTTGTGTCTATTTTGATGCTAATACCATGCTGTTTTTGTTATGACAGATCAGTAGTATAATTTCAGATCAGGTATTATGATGCCTCCTGATTCATTTTCATGCTTAGTTTTACTTTGGCCATTAAGCTCCACTTACAACAATCTGAAGAATTTCGAGTTTGCACTGCTATGCATCTCAAAATTCTTCCCATCAATTCCAAAATCTCAAAAAGCTTCTGAACCATATAGCCAGGTTAGTCACAGCAATAACCCAACAATTTCTGTTTTGGTCTGCTTTTTTGCCACTGTGACTAAAGGACCCAACCACAACAACTGTCAGGGAGGAAAAGTTTATGTGGGGCCTTACAGTTTCAGAGGTCTCAATCCATAGACAGCCAACTCCATTCCTTGGGACTCAAGTGAAGAGTGTAGCAGAGGGAAGTAGCTCACATGCTGATCAGGAAGTAGAGAGAGAGGTTTCCCCTTGCCAGATTCAAATATGTACCCCAAAGCCATGCCCCAGTTCCCACCTCCTCCAGTCACATCCTCACCCTACCACTTTAGTTATTACTCAGTTAATCCCTATCAGGGGATTAATTCACTGATTGGGTTTAGACTCTTATAACTCAATCATTTCTCCTCTGAACCTTCTTCCATTGTCTCACATGTGAGCTTTTGGGGGATACCAAATCTAAACCATAACATGCTTTGTGGCCTAGAATATGATCTATTTTGGAAAAAGTTCCATGTGCAGCTAGAGAAGGTAAATTCAGCAACTTAGGGGTGGAATATTCTGAGTGTCTATGAGGTGCATCTGATTTATAGTGTTATAGGTTGGTGATATCTTTGTTGATTTTATGTTTTGATGACCTGTCTATTGAGATAAGGGTATATTGACATCACCCAGAATTATTGTGTTAGGTCCATGTGGGATTTAATGTCATGAAGTATTTTTTCCATGTAATTGGGTGCATTGATATTAGAACATAAATGTTTATTATCTTTATATGTTCTTGTTGTATTATTTCCTTTACTAGGATGTAGTGGATTTTGTCCTTCTGATTAATTTTTGCTTGAAATCCACTTTGTCAGATATGCAAATAGCTACTCCTGCTTGTTTTCTTGGATCATATGTATAGAATATTTTTTTGCCATCCTTTTACCTTCAGCCTGTGGGTATCTTGCCTATAGATGAGTCTGTTATAAACAGCATATAGTTGCATCTTGTTTTTGATCCATTCTGCTAATCTGTCTTTTGGGGAGTTGAGTCCATTAACATTCAGTGTTAGTAAGGATATGTGTTTGTGGTTTCCAGCAATTTTGATTTTTTTGCTATATTTTATCCTTGTCTTGATTCTCATTAAGTGGATTATTCTACTATTGAATTTCCTCTGTTTGTGACTTGGGAATTATTTGCCAATTCCTCTCTGGGCAGTTTATTTCTTCCTTGAATTTGAAACTGAGTTTTGCTTGGTATAGTAACCTTGGCAGGCAGTTGTTTTCTTTTAGGGATTAAAATATTTCATACCAGTCCCTCCTTGATTCTAGGGTCTGAGCTGAGAAATCAGAAGTAAGCCTTATTAGTTTGCTTCTAAATGTGACTGATGTTTCTTATGGCTTTTAATATTTTTCCTTATTTTCTTTGTTAGGCATTTTGATCATTATATTTTTCAGAGAGCTTCTTATTTGACTAGCTCTATTTGGAGTCCTGTAAGCCTCCTATATGTGGATGTCTATCTCATTTATGATGTGGGAAAAGTTTTATGTAACTATCACATTGAAAATGTTCTTTATGCCTTTAGTTTGTATCTCCATGTTCTCTTCTATCCCAGTGATTCTCAAGTTTGGTCTTGTAAAATTGTTCCAGAGTTCTTGTATCCCTTCCTGTTTTTGTGTTTCTCTCTGGGCTACTAGTTGGAGCAGCCTAAGGTTGAAGCTGTTTGATATATAAGAGTCAGCCTTCCTACTTACCAGTAGGATGGGTTAGGAAGTACTGTCAGTTGGCATTTTGTCCATGTGGATCAGTTCCTTGTATTCCCAGGGTATAGTTTCTGAAGCATTATATGAGGGGAGTTCCAGCAAGTGGGGCTAAGGTCTAATCAGGTCTCAGGAGTTTGTTGGGTGGTTCCTTAATTAGAGAGACTAGATTGACCCACCCCTAGGGCTAGACAATAGTTGTTCTCTGATATAGGTGTGGTTCTCAGGAGCCTCTCAAGAAATCCACTTGTGAGGCAGTGGTGCTGATCCTCTACTCACGGCTGCCCAAGAGCATAGCCTTCCTGGGCTTAGTCCCTGACTGTATTTACCCCTATTCTCTCAGGCTTCCAGCCCACTTCAGCTGGTCATGTGAGCCAGCAGACACAAAGGAGAAGTGAGTTTGGCTCCCCTTCACCCTTCTAACTTGAACTCCTCCCCTGGGTTGAGTCTACTTTACACCTGTTTTATTACTCATGTCTGCTAGACTCAGCCTCAGGTTACTCAATAGGCACCTGCCAGGATATTGTGACTCTGATGTTTTGTTTGTTTGTTTTTTGTTTTCCTAATCTCCCAGGTCCTGCAGTTTCCACAGGGGCCTCTGCCCCCCAAATAGCTCCACCTCAGCTCTCATAGGCCAGTTGAGATACAGAGCCCATTTTTTAAGCACCAGCATACAGTGCAGTCTCTGGTCAGCTAAGATTAGGCAGCATTTTGATCTCAGGTTTTTCTGTACCCAAATTCTATTTCCCCCTGCTCTCTCTCTGGTGAATTTGTGCTGGTGTCACCCATGGAACCCCTGGGTTGGTTCCAATATATTCTTTCTTTTTTATTTTACCCAAATTTCTGAGTACCTAAGACATTTTGAGTGTCCAATATTAAATTTTAATGAAATCCCTCTTTTACCCACCTCACTGAGAATCCGTACACCTGTTGCTTTGGTTCCACATACAATACAGCTTGGAATGCAGCTTTACTCTACTCTGCCATCTTCCATCTCCAAGAATCTTCTTTATTTAAAGGTTGAACATTGGTTCTTTACTTTCTATCTTGTTTATTTTAAATCATTCATCCTTATATTTAGCATTCCAAAGGAAGTTTTAAAATATACTCTCTACTTCCTAAAGGATCAATTTTGGTCTTGATACCTTCAATTAGGTTATTATTCTTATTAAATTAGGTTATTATTTTTATTTAGTTTCTTTGCCATCTTTCTTATCTCCAGCAGCCATGTTTTCATTACAGAATGTATCTGAGGCCATTTTTATTTTAGCCAGTTCTCTCTATTAATTTCTCCTCTTCTCCCCTCCTCAAAAAAATACTGTAATGCTTTTCTGTTTTCTTCTTAAAATCTTTTCCAGAGGTGTAATTTCTCAGTCTTACAAATCTTGTGCTATATTTTGTTTTTAGTGAAAACATTTCTCAGTGAATGTTCCAATCCTGGTATTTGCCAATGGATAAGTTGATTTGTTGTATTTGGAATCTCTTCCTCTCTCTATCCCCTACCCAACCCCCTCACTAGGCCCTCAACTGCTTTCCCAGTTACTGGCATTGTTCCCCTCTCATATTCCAGGTGGAAGATATGTCCATGGGCAGGGTATTATTTACTAATACAGCCCATTTAGCTTCAACAGGATATCACCTTCTGCCTTTACTGCTCAGTTCTTTGCAAATCTGACCAAAAGGAGGGTATAGAAGGTGTCTGCAACCAGCCTGTAATGCTCCCAATGTTGTTCTTGGCTGTACACCTACCTGTAGGTTTGTGTGTGAAAACACCTCTTAGGTTTACAATGATATAATCTTCTGTCTTGGTTTATTTCCTAAAATGGTCTTTAGAAGGAATTGGTGGTATCTGAAACTAGGAATAGGAGTCCCAGTGGAAGACAGAGAGCTGGGCCAAATAGATCTTCATTCATTTCTGAATCAGGGCTGACATATGGTAGGGAGGGCTGACACCTGGGTGTTTCTGATTAGGACGGTGTTGGAAGGTTGAGGTCAAGGTCTTCTTCCAGAAACAGGTTTTCTCTGACTCAGAAGGCAAGAATTCATAGGTCATCTATTGATTTTCCAATCCAGCTGAATTGACCTTATATTTTGTGAAAATTCCTCAAGACTGTGGCAATAGTTTGTATCTATTGGGTCTCCCTTTACTAAATTTTGGTCTTTTTCTTTTACAAAAATCATCAGTGGGTTTGTTAAACCTGATCACATTTTAACCTGGGAGAAAAAGACTATCTGTGTTATTAATATTTATGCCACCTAATTAAATGAACAAATGAATGCAAATAATGTTTTTATTAATACTTGTTCCATCACTATCATTTATACCTTTTCTATTACATTAAATGCTACATAATCAAATTTGGTCTTATAATGTTAACAAAATACCACTGTACAGATATTATTTTTGATTTTTAAAATATATTGATTATAGAAATTATTACTTTAATACCTACATATATGTATATGTATATATTCATATACATATGAATTATAAGTGAAGATTTTCTCACTCTATTCTACAGGATCGGTGATGTGGGACTAAGGCAATTTCTTGATGGCCCTTCAAGCATAAGGATAAGAGAGCTCAATTTAAGTAACTGTATGCAACTGGGTGATGCCTCTATTGTGAAACTATCAGAGCGGTATGATAAAGCAATCTTTAATAACATAGCATATACATTAGTAATTGTATATTTGCTAATAGGAGAGATCATAGTTAGATATAAAATAAAAAACTCTAGCCATTTGGAGAACATGCCCAGAAGCTAATCCAATCCTCACATCCTCAGTGAAACCGAATCAAATATAAAGTCACGATTGAACTAATCTTTTGATTACATCTTATATTTCTTATTATTGTCACCTAAGAGAAAGTTTGAAATGGACTTATTCATAAAGTAATGAAAATCTAGATAAGTGTGATTTCTCTGTACTGTTGTTGTTTACATGCTAACTTTTACTCCAGCATTTCCCAAGGAGTATTTTGATCCTCTTGGCAGAGGTCTTGTGTTCTCCAAGGATGAAACTCAATTCCTGCAGCAAACTTATAATAATTAAGTGGGGAACTTAACTTTGCACTTTTAGTGGTTATTCATTGTGGTACATACATGGTAGTATTTTGTACATATATTTTTAAAAAAATATATGTATTTTAAATATATATATATATATGTATATATATATATTTGTTAAAATTTGTAATGTGAAACAAAAAGAAAGTCTTATATAATAATCTTTCTTTTATCTAACTCTATAATGCCAAATTATTTTCTACTTTTAGTCTTACATTTATGTTCAGAAAAGAAAAATCTTTGTTTCAATACTGTTTGTTTTCCCAATAGTTTTTACATGAAGAAATCAATACTGATGATGTGATTGAAAGCTGAAATTAATTCTTTGTGCTGCTTTCTTTCAGCTGCCGTAATTTAAACTACTTGAGTTTACGAAATTGTGAACAGTTGACTGACCAAGGAATTGAATACATTGTAAACATCTTTTCCTTGGTATCTTTAGATCTTTCTGGAACAGTCATCTCTAATGAGGTAAAAAGATAGTAAAAACAGTTTGATGACTTTTATTTTTTTCCTGCAATAAAAACATTTTCTGTTTTGTAAATAATGGAGAACAATAATTAATTTATTAAGTTATTAGATTACAGAAAGAAAGTTTAGGAATATTATTATTTGTAAATATATTATTTGTAAATCGAGTCTTATTTCTCTGTTTAAAAAATAGCAAAATCTAGCAGTGTGATCCCAGTGACTCTGGAGGCAGAAAGAGGAGGATTGCAAGTTCAAGGCCAACTTCAGCAAATTAGCAAGGCCCTTGACAACTTAGTGAGACCCTGTCTCAAAATAAAAATAAAAAGAACTGGAGATGTAGAGCAGTGGTAAAGAAGTCCTGAGGCTCAAGCCCGGGTAATCCAAATCAAAACAAAACAAAAAACAACAACAACAAAAATACAGCAAAAGTCACAACAGATCAAAGTATTACATGAGAATCTGAAATTTATCATAGAAGTTTGGTTAGTGTGGTGATAATAATTTTACATGGCCTAGGTATATTTTTCCTGCTTATTGTACATTCTGTAAACTACCTAAGTACCTTTGATCTAAGTCTTTAGTTCAATATCAAAGTCTAGAAATGGCCTCATCATGTCCACAAAAGATACTTTTTAAGCAACTCATTTCCTACTAGTTGCTGATACTACTCATGAGAGTTGAAACCCAAGTGTTATGGTTTGGATGTGAAGTATCTCCCAAAATCTCACCTGTGAGACAATGTAAGAAAGTTCGGAGGAGAAATGATTGGGTTGTAAGAGTCTTAACCCAATCAGTGATTAACTGAGTGGTAACTGAAGTGGTAGGGTGTGGCTGAAGGAGGTCGGAATTGGGGCGTGGCTCTGGGTATATATTTGTATCTGGCAAGTGGAGTTTCTCTCTGCTTTTCCGTCATGATGTCCTGCCTCACCTTGAGCCCTCAGGAATGAAGTCAGCTGTCCATGGACTTAGACCTCTGAAACTGTGAGCCCTCAAATAAACGTTTCCTCCTCTATAGTTGGCTACTCAGGTCTTTTAGTTGGAGCAGTGAAAAAGCTGACTAAAACACCAGGCTAGGAGTTTTGAAGATGGCGGCGAGGGGAGTGCATTACCCCCGTGTGCTGCTTCACTGTGTGGGAGTGTGACAAGTCAGGACGGCTGAAGGATATCTTGTTGGGAATTTCCAGCAATAGTGGGGTGCGCCGGAACCTGGAGGAAGGATTTCCATCGCATGAGGATCGGCTACGGGGACTCAAACGCGAGAGGTTTGTCGCACGGAGGGTAAAACTGCTTATTCAGCGAATCGCCCCGCGGCTAGAGTCTGCAAGGCGCGCTGGGATAGAGACGCAGGGTTACAGCGCTGCAGTTTCTGCCAGACGCGCAAGCACCGCACTCAGGGCTGAATTCTGGGTTCGAGACGGGGAAGGAAGCGGTCCATCTCGGTTCTCCACACCGGTCAGACCACAGAGGAGGCCAGCAGCCACCATGTTGGTAAACTGACGTCACCACACCTGTTTTTGACTGACCGCAGCTCATTCAGCCATAGAACAGGTAATTTCAGGCTGCAATTCGCCTGCGGCTTGCAGACAGATTGCTAGGGTTCAGCGCCTGGGGGCTTCTTAAAATCTGATCTTATCGGAGTGAACACGGAGCGCGGGGCGGCCGAGTCCCGGCTCCCGGAGCCGTCCCGGAACCGCCCTGGCTCCGGGCTGCGGAGCCTGCGGAGGCTGCTTCTTGGACCCTGCTAATATCAGAGCAAACACGAAACACCAAGAGGCCGAGTTCCGGCTCCCGGAACTGAGCCCGCGGGGACTGCTTCTTGGAGCTTACACTTGTAGGAGCTTACACCGAGCACAGAGCGGCCGAGTTCCGGCTCCCGGAACCGTCCCGGAACCGCCCTGGCTCAGGGCTGCGGAGCCCGCGGAGGCTGCTTCTTGGACCCTGCTACTATCAGAGCATACACCAAACACTAGGCGGCCGAATTCCGGCTCCCGGAACTGAGCCCGCGGGGGCTGCTTCTTGGAGCCTACACTTATAGGAGCTTACACCGAGCACGGAGCGGCCGAGTTCCGGCTCCCGGAACTTCCCTGGACCGGGGCTGGGAGCCCGCGGAAACTGTGTCTCGGTCCGGGTCCTGCTGAGGGCAGGTCAGGACTCACCCATTGCTTGGGTTGCCTGGCAAGGGGAACGAAATGCTGCCATTCGCATAGGATACCAACATGGCAGAGATCTGATGTCAGCAGAAAGCGGTGGAGGAGAGATCTTCATCAATACCAGCGGTGACATAAGCAGTTGGTCTCCTGGTAAGGGGGGTGAGGCTCAGTCACCCGAGTCTCCTCAATTTGTCCTCGAGCCAGAGGGAAGGAGCCGGGCCGCCGCCAGCCCCCGGAGCAGGCCCAGCGGCTCGCCAGCGTGGTGACCGCGTGACCCCAATTGGAGAGGGGGCGGAGCGGAGCCGCCACCCACACCCGCCAGGTGGGCAGACCCACGACCCAGTAGTACATGGGCGTGGTAGGAGGGGCAGGGCAGAGCCGCCCTTCGCGCTTGCAAGGTAAACAGACCTGTGACAGCCTGGCGGGTCAGGCCCAGTGGCCTGCCAGTGTGGTACACACGTCACCCCAACTCGAGTAGGGGCAGAGCAGATCCTTATCCCACGCCCGGATCAGGCCCTGCCGGTGTGGTGGTCACGTGACCCCAATTGGAGTGGGGGTGGAGCGGAACCGCCACCCGTGCCCGCAGGGTGAGCAGACCAGTGATCAACCTGCAGATCAGGCCCAGGGGTCCGCAGGCGTGGTAGGAGGGGCAGGGCAGATCCGCCGCCCGCGCCTTCAAGGTAGGCAGACCTACAACAGACCTGCGGATCAGGCCCAGGAGCCTGCCGGCGGGGTACAAATACCACCCTAATTGGAGTAGTGACAGAGCAGAGTCGCCTCCCTTGCCAGGAACAGACCCAGCATCCTGCAGGCGGGGTAGTCACGACACCCCAGTTGGAGTAGGGGCAAAGCAGAGCCTCCACTCGTGCCCGAAAGGTGGGCAGATCTGCGACCGACCAGCAGGACAGGCCCAGTGGCCTGCTGGTACGACAGACACGTCACCCCAATTGGAGTAGGGGCAGAACAGAGCCGCCACCAGCTCCCAGAACAGGCCCAGTGACCTGCCGGCGTGGTAGCCACGACACCCCAATTGGAATAAGGAGAGAGCAGAGCCGCCGCCCGCACCTGCAGGAAAGATACGCAAGCAGTATGAAAAGACAAGGAAAGAAAGGACCACAAGCAATGCAGGTCAACGCAACTTTAGAAGAGGTAACAGCTGCAGCAGATGGAATGTCAGATAAAGAATTCAGGATATACATGCTTCAGATGATCTGGAGTATCAAGGAAGACATTAAACAGCAAAATCAGACAATGAAAGATCACTTCGACAACGAATTACGCAAACAAATCCAGGAAGCAAAGGATCAACTATACAGGGAGATAGAGGTTATAAAAAACAAGCAATCAGAAATCCTAGAAATGCAGGAAGCAATAAACCAACTTAAAAACTCAATGGAGAATACTACCAACAGAGTAGAACACTTAGAAGATAGAACATCAGACAATGAAGACAAAGTATTTCAACTGGAAAAGAACATAGACAGCTCAGCAAGACTGTTAAGAAACCATGAGCAGAACATCCAAGAAATATGGGATAACATTAAGAGACCAAACTTAAGAGTCATTGGGATACAGGAAGGTACAGAGCTCCAAACCAAAGGAATGAGCAGTCTATTCCATGAAATAATACAAGAAAACTTCCCAGACTTGAAGAATGAGACAGAATCCCAAATCCTAGAAGCCTACAGGACGCCGAATGTGCAAAATCATAAGAGATCCACACCTAGACACATTATAATGAAGATGCCCAACATACAGAATAAGGAGAGAATTTTAAAAGCTACAAGAGAAAGGAAGCAGATTACATTTAGGGGCAAGCCAATCAGGATAACAGCTGATCTTTCAACACAGACTCTGAAAGCTAGAAGATCCTGGAATAACATATTTCAAACACTGAAAGATAATGGGTTCCAACCAAGAATTGTGTATCCAGCGAAATTAAGCTTCAGGATGGAGAATGAAATTAAAACCTTCCACGATAAACAAAAGTTTAAAGAATTCGCAGCTAGAAAACCATCTCTTCAAAACATCCTAGCCAAAGTATTACAGGAAGAGGAAATGGAAAATAACAATGAAAACCAACAGTGGGAGGTAGGACAGTAAAGGGGGGGGGGAAACAATCAAAGAGGAAAACAAACAATGTTTAGTAACAGAAATAAACAAATATGGCTGGAAGAACAACCCATATCTCAATAATAACCCTAAATGTTAATGGCTTAAACTCACCAATTAAGAGACACAGGCTAGTAGAATGGATCACAAAACAAGACCCAACAATATGCTGCCTACAGGAGACGCATTTGATAGGAAAAGACATACATAGGCTGAAGGTGAAAGGTTGGGAAAAATCATATCACTCATATGGACTTCGGAAACAAGCAGGCGTGTCCATACTCATATCAAATAAAATAGATTTCAAGCCAAAGTTAATCAAAAGAGATAAAGAGGGACACTACATACTGCTTAAGGGAACCATACACCAACAAGACATAACAATCATAAATATTTATGCCCCAAACAATGGTGCAGCTATGTTCGTCAAACAAACTCTTCTCAAGTTCAAGAGTCTAATAGACCACCACACCATAATCATGGGAGACTTCAACACACCTCTCTCGCCACTGGACAGATCTTCCAAACAAAAGTTGAATAAGGAAACTATAGAACTCAATAACACTATTAATAACCTAGACCTAATTGACATATATAGAGTATACCACCCAACATCAAGCAGTTACACTTTTTTCTCAGCAGCACATGGATCCTTCTCAAAAATAGATCATATATTATGTCACAGGGCAACTCTTAGACAATATAAAGGAGTAGAGATATTACCATGCATCTTATCTG